TTATTCAAACCATGAATCTGATGAGTGGGCTATGGATTGAACAAGTTATTATATTGTATGCTAGTTTTTAGCTAATAATTCAAACCAAAAATCTGATGATGCCTACAAAAAACCGTAGACAACATAATTGCATTTAAGGATTTTTGTTTGTTTTTTCCAAATTTTTCTTCATTCTGTCGGATCTATATCCATTTAGATTTGCTTACATATATATATATATATATATATATATATATATATATATATATATATATATATATATATAAATCATTTCACCACAAGCAAGGCAATACAGCCACTAGGGCGCAAGAGGTTGTTGAGCATTAGAAATATGAGAAAAACTACTATTAAGAAAGAAGACAATGAAAGAAGAATTAAGAAGACAGAAGATAACGATTGACATTGCATTTAAATTTTTGAAGATCAAAGTCAACTGCGAAGCAAGAATCCGGAAAAAAGTTCCACAAGCGAGAAGTGCGTTAGAAGATACTGTTAGCATAGAACATACATCTAGTCGTTTCAACTGTATGAAGACGAGAGATTGCCGCTAATCTAATACAGCGCTTAAATTCATAAAGTCTATGTACTATAGAGGAAAACAGTCACCATTAAAATATCTATTGAAAAAGCAGAGGGAAGCTACGTTATGGAGGAGGGGGAGAGTGACTGAAGCCGAGATGCCAGATCAAGACAGATAACGTTGCAGATTCTTCTTTAGATTTTATCAAGGATCTCTAAATATATAGCAGGAGCACCAGACCAGATGTGGTGGCAATATTCAATGCATGGACGAGTGGTAGACTTATAGATATGTAAGATAGATTCTGAAGAGAACAATCGTCTAGCATAACACAGGGAATAATTTTTCCTAGCAGTAGATCTAGCAATTGATTCAATATAATGCGGTCCAATTCATGTCAGCAAATTTATGCAAACATTATTGTTGCCTTTAAATATGTCATGTGAGTATCAAATTCCTTATGCCATTTTTCCTCGTTATGATTTCAACTGTTTCTTTCTAATCTTATGTATAATTGTCCTTTTTATTTCCATTTTCTTTAAAACTTTGCTATTCACATGTTCCATCTATGGTATTCTCATCATTTTTCTGTAGAATAACATCTTTGTTGCCTAATGTCTCCTTTTCATCTGTGGAGAAATTGGCCAGCATTCACTGCTATATGGGTGGATTGATTTTACACAGCAGTTCAGTACTCTTTTCTTTGTTTCTGTGGTTTCATGTCTCTTTTTAATCTGTGAGGAAATTGGCCAGCATTCACTACAATATAGAACGATTGATATTACATAGCGGTAAAAAACTCTTTTTTGTTTCTGTTGCTTAAGTCTCCTCTTCATCTGTGAGGAAATTGTCCACCATTCACTACCATATAGGAGGATTGATATTACATAGAAGTTCAGCACTTTTTTCTTTGTTTCTGTTGCTTCAAGTCTCCTCTGCATCTGCGAGGATATTGTCCAACATTCACTGCCATATTGAAAGATTGATATTACAGAGCAATTTAACCAAGTCAGGAGGAAAGCACTGATTTCAATGTCAGGCCATTTTTCTTTTATGTGCCGCGTCTCTTAAGAAATTTGGCCATCGTGGTTCTCCACAACTTCTTATCTTAAGGAATATTTATCCCATATCTATCCCCCCCTAGTTCACCCATTTGTACAAGGCTGTTACGTAGGTTACTCGTTTCCTTCTGTCCCTCTTGCCTTGAATAAGTCCCGTGAGTATGATATTCCCCCAAACCGCTTTCCTCATGCGGAGAAGTCGACATGCTGAGTCTAAACAAACTCAGAGGTCTAGCGAGCTCTGTTTTCTCTGTTTCCCTACGATTTTTTAAGCGTAACTTAGATCTAGCACAAAGCCGAATGTTTGGGGCGCCCAGTGAGAATCGAACTCACTATTCAGTCGTAATTGATCTAGCGAGACAAGCTTGCTATCAAATTACACCACGTCGAATTGCCCAACTTTCATTATTCACAGCTTGATTTGTTTCTTCAGCACTGCTTAAGTAGCCTGGTGAACTCGCAAAAAAATAGAGAAATTAATTTTTGTATCAGATTATTGCAAAAGTCTGTGCTCAATTAGAAAATTAAAACCAACGAAAATAGAACACGAATCTTTGCATTGAGCCACTTGTCATAATCGATAAATAGAACTTTTTCATTATTTTGGAAGTAGGGGTACTGCGTATAATATAAATACAGAGTTAAAATCGATCCCTGACTTTTATGGAGGGTAGAAGAGATGGGTTCATACTGTATTTTGACGAAAATGAATGTAATGATCACGACAATGATTCGAACTCATCTCATCAAAATTCCATGCCGAGCAGCTAACAATTGCTCTACTACAGGGTGCCCAGTATAATAATAAAAAAAAGCGGTAAATTCCGAAAGACGTGAGACAACCGTTAAAAACTAGTGACGACTGATATGACTGAAAAATTCACGAAGAACTTCTGCACATTTCGTCAAATTTCCACGTCGAAGTTGTTTCTTTGAATAATATAACTTGTTATGGCATGTTTTGTTTTGTTTTACGGTATATCAACCTCAATATGTTATTTAATGCCCACAAGATTTTTATTGCTGGTAATATATATATTTTTTAAATTGTATTGTTGGTAATATTTTTTATTATTTCAAAAACGTATAGCCGCTAGTTTTTTTTTTTTTTTTTTTTTTTAATGTATTGCTGGTAATATTTTTTTTGAAAAATGTATTGCTGGTAATATTTTTTTTGGAAAAAGTATTACTTGTAAAAAATTTTCCCAAAAAATATTGCTGGCATTAAAACCTATTCTTATACTTTCATAGTATTTTGACCCCTTTTGTGGCGGGGTTGGGATAACTATTTATCCATAGCTGAGGTTCCACGCTCCTCAAAACATTCTGATCAAAGGCCTTGCTACCAGATGTAGTTTATCGTCTTAACCAGGACGCGGATGTAGTTTATTGTTGTCATACCCAGAACGGTACGATAACTTGACGCTCAAAATCAGTGAGTGGTTTATCCATACGAGAAAAACTAAAGTTGTCTGCAAATGACCTTTAAATGGCGAGTCACAAGATCAAGCAGCAATTTATCAATCATAAAGGAACCAATCAGAGTTAAGTAATTACGAGATTGTGCAATGATTATTCAAGGTCAGGAATATTCAAGAAATTTATTCAAGGTTATTCAAGGTCAATTATTCCTGTAAGATGATAAATTTGCCGCTTTTTTTTTTACTGGGAACCTGTAATACATCTATTAATTGGGCGGATATAAAAAGTAGGTATTAATTATAGATTGTTGCCTCTAACACATTAATGCCCCAAGTGGACATTGGAGGGGTTAATAAGTAAATGGATGATAGAACAAGGTATAGGAGGGATAACGAAAAGACAAAATTTTTTAAGAGCTACAAAAGACAGGGAATTGTGGAGAGCCATGATCACAATTATCTTGAACGGTCACGGTACATAGAAGAAGAAAAATATGTCATTACGATACATCTATGGGTCATCTCAATAAAGAACTAATAGTTTATGAGGCAAACTTGTTTGTCCTTGTCCGTGGGCTAGATGTATATATGTCACTTCCTTTGAACGCAACTAGTTTTTTTTTTTCGACTGAGGAAATATGGCGGCTTTAGTTTGTGCTAAAAAATCTCAAAGACTTCCGTACTAGAAGAAAACAAATGTCATTAATTAACATTCCTTCAACAAAATATGCTGTTCTGAGGAATAGAGATTTACGAAATTTAACTTGGTGATGCAGAAATTTCAATTAGTTGAGGCATAATAAATATTTGCAAATCGTGGGTGATGATATCGGGTGTAATATATAATGCCCCTGTTTACATTTTTTTTGCAATAATGTTCATCTTGTACAAGGCTCAAGAGCCATTCGAGGTAGAGGGTTACAGAGTTAGAGATAAGAGGCACAGTTTATGGTGATATGTGGTAAAGATAACGGTTAACCCTAGACTTGAACTAGTTATCATTGTATCTAGCGGGATAGCATCTTCTTGTGAGTCGATTCCACAGAACAGCGGTTCGCGGGAAAAAAAGCTTTTCGAGTGAAATTTATTTCTAACCAGTGGAATATGGAGGAAATGTAGGTGGTTTGATACAACGTAAGTGGTATGGCGGGTTCTGGTTGTGATAGAACTGGCTGAACCAAGGAATGTAGTTCGTCCGAGCACTTTTCATGGAAGTAGCGATAAAGCAGCGAGAAGCTTGCCAAATCTCGTCTGCGAGAGATTTACACAGTGGAAAATAACTTGTCGCTTTTGGACTCGACCGAGATTGGAAAGTGAGGACTTGGCAGCTCCAGCATTACTCCAATCTCGGCTTGTTCTGGCTCTTGTAAAGGTAAAAGATAGCGCCAAGAGTCAAGTACTTACTAGAGCAATACAGAGAACCGACCATTTATCTTGAGGTCTGGAGTGAGTTTAATGCTCAATAGCCGTTCAAGACACAGCGCCACCTCGGGGGAACATCCATTCATCGTGACTGGTGGTTGTCCTCATCTTTGTCACCATATTTATTACAACATTTTGGCCGTTCTACGCTCCGGCCTTCTTCAGGTAGTTGGAATGTCGAACTGAACCCTTTATTTTGCTCACTGGGTTAGACTGTTCTAGTTCCACGTGCCATGTTTAATGGATGTCAGTTATCAATTATCTCCTGTTAATTTCCCTCTCCAAGTTCTCTACTTAACCGGGTATTGAACTCACACACTTTGGGTCCTGTCACTGGATCTAACCAACGCCTTTATCCACTGTGCATTGTGTCCTTGAAGAATTTTGTGGTGCTAATAATGATTTACTGATAAAAGTTCTACTATTTAACCCATACCTGGAGGCGGGGAAGAAGAGGTGTACTTATACCGTTCCCAAGGGTATTTGCGCGTAAGTAACTATAACGAACTCGACTTGAATTGAAACTCAGCTCTCCGATTTCCAACTCCGTGCCATTATCCATTACACCATCCAAGATTATAGCACCTGGTGTTCCCAAGCGGTCACCCATCTAGGCACTGAACAGGCTCTACGCTGTTTAACTTCGACGACCGTACGAGAATTGGTGTTTTGGCGTGATATGGCCGTAAGCCGGTCAAAATACGAGACATGACAAATATTACCGCTAAAGTGGAAACACTGACAGATATCAATATCCTAAGGGTATCATATGCGAAACGCGCCAAATACAAAAGACTGGTTTGTATTTATATATCAAGTACAGGTTAGCAATATGATACTATCAACTGTAAAGTACTTGAAAGCCGACTTTTTATATCGCCTCAGTTATGCGTACATACCCGGGATGATGTGTCATTATGTCAGGTGGCAAGCCCTAGACGTGGAGTCAAGGTAGAAAATGGCATCAAAGACAGTTGTATAACTCAGAAAAGGATTTAGGAACATTTGTCTAAAGAATATTAGTCTAAGGAACGTTGGTCTAAGGAAGATTCGTTTAAAGAAGGGAAACATGTCTAAGGACATTTGACTAAAAGGTACTCGTCTAAGCACACTGGTTTATGTAATACCCGTCTAAGTACTACAGGTCTATATTAATATTTTTTTACTAAATTAACACTTTATTCATTTAGAAAATACTCAATGTTATTGATATTCACTATATTGCAGAATAATATTTACAAAATTATAGCAACATTAATTATTGCTGATACACGGCGTTTATAATCATTTATTGGCATGCATTGTTTTGTATATTAATACAAACATTATTAGGTCATAATTCTCTAGATGAATATTTTTAAACGTATTTTCTTTAGGTGAATGTTCCTGAGACCAATATTCTTAGACCAATATACCTTAAACGAATGTTCCTTAGACATATTAAAGACATATTGAAGGTGTAATTACAAGTTCTTATATTATTTAAATAGATTTAGGAACATACGTCTAAAGCAGTGTTTCTCAACCTTTTTCAGCAAATGGACCATTTTTTTATTCAAAAAATTAAAATGGACCACTACAATTTTACTTTTAGGCTGTTCAATTTTCACAGTAAAATACTCAATGAAAAGACAAAGTAGCCTATTTACATTTTAAATTTTATTTTAATAAACAAATACTATATATATATATATATATATATATATATGACAAAAAATAAAATAAATATAGCACTGCGTAATACCTACGTAATTTTGAAATATTCAAATATAATGGACCTGCGTAATTAAACAAAATATTATTATTATTATTATTAATTCTTGAAAGTATGAATAATTTAGATACATTTTTGTGAAATGGCTACGAATTTTCTGAGGACCACAAGAGATGCTATGTGGACCACCGGTGGTCCACCTGGACCACGCTGAGAATCACTAGTCTAAAGAATATTGGTCTAAGGAACATTTGTCAAAAGAATATTGGTTTAAGGAGCATTCGTCTAATAGATAGATAGATAGATAGATAGATAGATAGATAGATAGGCAGGTTGGCTGCGTCAGTCATTGCTCAACGGTAAGGTATAATAAAGAGGTATAAAAGAGAGATTCTTTTTTACAATGACATTCACTCTGTAAAAGGCACAAGAGCCACTCGAGGTAGAGACTGACAGATTAAAAGGCACAGATGTTGTGGATATGTGGGGAAGATAAAGATTTGGCCTAGATTTGAACAGGTTAAGATTGTAGTGTATTGGGGAAGCATTCTACAAACAAGCAGTTGGTAGGAATACAAAGAAAATGAGGGTGTTTCGCTACAATATACGTAATATGGCGGGTTTTAACCATGAAAGGAAGAACTTCTGGAACAAAGGAATGTAGATCGTTTGAGCACTTTCCATGGAAATAGCAGTGGGAAACTTGCGACATTTCGTCTTTGAACGAGGGCTTGTATGGTCGAAAATAGTTCATCACCCACAAGGAAGGATAAATTATTTTTAATCCTAGAATTGTTTGGGAAAATTAAATCGTAAATCATTAGACTTCCATATACCCAAATATCAACACACTGATTTAAGTTCATCTTTGTGCACTCTTTTTAGATAATCGATCCGCTAAGGGTTCATCAGGTCCTATCGACTGGGGCTGTGTTTTACCAAATAAAACATTATCACCCGAACATTTCCAATAGTAACAGCAAAAACATAACAAAAAAAAAAAAAAAAGAAAGAAAAGATAACTAAATAAATAATGGGTAGGACGTGAATGATCACGGCTCTCCACAACTTCCTATATTTTGCAAGTCCTAGTAACGTGTGTCTTTTTATCATCCGCCCCTTTCTGTAATCCATTCTCAAAAGCTTCGTCTATCTCTGTTGTCTCCGATATGTCCAGTTAGTGTCACATTAAATAAAGCTTGCCTGTTTTAATTTATATCATTTTTTTTTTACTAAGGTTTACCCAATACAAGGCTCAGGAGCCACTTATGGTAGAGGATTACTGATTGAAGTATGTGATTTGAATGTAAGAGGAGGTAGAAGAAAGTGAAGTAGGATGGCTAGTGATTGTCTGTTGACTTGAAAAAGTTAAGACTGTAGTGTTCGGGGAAGCACCAACGCAGGAGCTTTTTTCACAAAGTAGGAAATCTCGAGGAAAAAAATCGTGCTTGAGTATAACCTTCATCCTTACAATTGGAATACGAAAGATATGTGGGTGGATGTGGCAAGGCGAGCTCTAATTGTAAAGGTCTGAACTGGTGGATCTAAAGGATGGAGCTCATCTAAACAGTTGTCATGGAAATGGCGACAGAGTAGCGATCGTCTTGCAACGATTTGCCTATTGGAGAGCGGCCGTAGAGTGTCAAATAACTGATCCACTTTTAGACTGTTTAAGTGATCTTGAACAAGAATAGGTAACTTGTGCGACAAGGTTGGAAAGAGCTGATTGAGCAGTTCCAGGTCAAACATGGCAGCAATGCTCAACTTCTAATCTAATCTGATTTTTTTATAAAGACAAAGCATGGTAGAGGGTGTCAGGTACCTCCTGGAGCGGCAGAATGAGTCGACAGATTTTAAACAGCCGTTGAAAAATGTCTTACGGCCTTATCTTGAAAAATTATGATCCGAAAACCTAGCTTTTATCTGGACTCAAATTCTGACCTCTGACGCCACCATGCAGACTGTAGACATCCTGAAGAGATATATTTAGCATCATGTCTTTTTTGGGGAGGGGAGGGGGACCAAATCAGGACCTCACGCCTTGATAAATTAAGACGACGTAGTCAGAAAGATTTACCGCCCTTGACTAACGACAACAGCGCCGTTAACAATGACGATTGGACAAACATTAAATCATCTCCTCAGTTTCGTATTTTCTGTTCTGTCCTTTTCTTTTGTCTTGTCTCGTTTATAAAAATGATTCCCATTAAAAACTGGTTATGTTGTCAGCCTTAAGAGTACACAGTGAGGACGAGAAAAGAAATGGTTTGCAATTGGTCTCCACTGAAATAATGTTGCTATTGGCACACCTGGGATTCACCTAATGGGTACGTGAGGAGAGGGGAACTGACAAAGGTGAATGGAGGAGAGAAACACGCAGTTTACAATAGACACAGGTGGGCCGAACAATCGTTCTATTGTTTTCATTTGCTGACGGCTTTCCAGTATCTTCTTTAGACGGGAATGTTAGCATTGTATTACCGTAAATGTTTGTGGCTTGAACGTTAAACGTAACATGTTTTTTTTTGCGCGTCTTTAATTTGAACCTCCAAGTCCCAAGAGATCACATATGGATTATTTCATGATATAACCGATCTAAAATTAAGCTAATTAGATCATCACAGATAACTCCAAAAATTCGCTAAAAAATACCATGATGAAAAAAGGCCCCAAACTTGATAAAAAAAAATATCGTCAAAATGTTTATGTTATTATTAAGAGGAAAGACCAAATTATTTTTTGATTATTTTGTTACATTTTTAATTGTTTCTAGCATGTTCGAAAATTGTGCTTAAATATCTTTTTTTTTTATGCTCAGCGTGTGGGCCAAAGACTAGTATGGGAAATTTTAGCGTCATTTTTTTGCGGGATAAACGTTAAATAATTGTCGGATATTGATTAAATTTTCAGGACTTATTCATAAATGAATGAAATTATTTTTGAAAATTTAAAAAAAATGATCTTGGTAAAAATATTTTATTACATTTGGTACCCATTTAATTTTGTGAAATTTCGAGAAATTAAATTTTGATCCGCTTAATGTTTCGATTAGTTAAAATCAAAACTCCTTGGAGAATTTAAATCCTCAATTTGTTTTTGTCAAACAGAAACACCATTTACCGAAAATCTACTCTGAATTGTAAAATGAAAATGCTATAAAACTATGACCTTATTTAATTAGAAGAGTTTTTAATTGCTTTTATAAATAAAATATATTAAGGACGCTATTGTCTTCAGAAAACATTCTCTGGTTGTCCTCCTATATTGTCTGAAGTTGTGAGATTTCATTATTTCATATGTTTTTTCCGATGTTTATATAAAGTTCTGTCTGAATATATATATATATATATATATATATATATATATATATATATATATATATATATATATATATATATATATATATGCGTGTGTGTGTGTGTGAAATATATATATATATATATATATATATATATATATATATATATATATATATATATATAGTTAAGTTACGAAAAACTTGGTAATCCGTATGGGTAGATTCAAGGAGGATGAAATCCTGAGAGTTCAATGTAAATCCAAAGCTAATAATTTAAAAAAAAAACAGACCACTTTAAGGTTCTATTGTAATAATCTATTTCACCAGGGTCCTTTTAAAGGACGCTGGATCATCAGACATCACTTCCAAAAACTTCACGAAAAGTGAAATAGATTATTACAATGGAACCTTAAAATTGGTCTGTTTTTCTTTATATATATATATATATATATATATATATATATATATATATATATATATATATATATATATATATATATATATATAAATAATTTTTTTAAATATACTATTTATATATTATATAGGCGCGGTACTTATTGGAAAGCGCTCAATATCAGTGATAGAGCAAACATATTTAGTTAGATTGATGTGAGTTTGTGATCCTGGGTTTCACACTATTTTGCGATCGTCTGACAATCGCAAATAGTGTGAAACCA